TCCAGGAATGGGTGGTGAAAGGACAAATTGAGGCCTATCCACAATGGAATACCACTTAGTAATCAAAAAGGACTGGACTGCTGATTTGTTCAACCTCAGGGATGAATCCCCAAACACTTAGTGGGCTGAAAGAACTCAGACATGGAAGATATCTTTTATCTTCCCTCTGAAATTCTAGAAAGGGCAAGTTAATTTAATTAACAGAAAGCTGACAAGTCATTCCCTGAATCGGGGAAAGTAAGCTCTAGAGGCCTGGGGCCAGGGTTTGGGGAGATGAGGAGACTGCTCTGTATCTTGGTCCTGGTGATGTTGGCAGGCATGCAGATGCGTTCACACTCACTGAAATGCACTCATAAATATTCTTGTATAGACCAACAGTGTTGAATTGTAAAATTAATTGTACTTCCATTACACAAGCAATAATCGGTGGCATGGTATAATATTTAAATTTAATTTTAAAACAACACAAATATTTAATAACACAAAATATGTAAATAACTAGCAAAAAAGTTAACAAAACACATGCCCGATCTTCATGGAAAATACTAGCACCCTAGGCTGAGAGACGTGAAGAAAATCTAAGTGAGTCAAGGATGCACGCTGGCCACAGGGTGCAGCAGACCCCAGCAGGGCCAGTGCCCCCGCTCTCCACTGGGCTGCCAGACAGGGCTTGGAGGTAAACCAGGGCCATGCAAGCTGCCTCTCCCCAGCTACAGCAGCCCGGGTCTCCCGTGCGGAAGAACTGACCAGCATGGACATCTGGGACAGAGTGGGAAAGACCCTGCTCCCTGAGGGCGGGGAAGGGGCACAGGAACCAGGGAAAGGCCGCAGGCATTGTGGAGGACGCTAGGAAGGGCTGGAGACCTTGCCACCACGTGAGGGTCCCGGGTAGCAACAGGGCCAGTGGCAGGGAAGAAAGCCGCCATCACTGTCTCCGATGGAGGTTCTCTCCCCATCAGCAAAGCCTTTCCAGAAACGAGGTGCACGGGCCAGGGTGAGAAGCGCAGGTTCCTTCCCAGAACCACAAAAACAAGAGTTTAAGAAGCAAGGGTCAAATTCCACCTGTTTAGGATGAAGGCTGCTTTGGGTGGAAAGAGGGAATTGAGCCACAGAAAAAAGAACCTGTCCCAGCTTGGCGGATCTGAGAACACAGAGTCTGTCACACCTGGAAGGTCGCTGGGGTCGGAGGAGCTCACTGAGAGGCTGAAAGCAGAGAGGGCTGTGGACAATTAGGAAACAGGACCCAGAAGGAGCCAGTGGTGGAGAAAGAGGCCGAGCTGCTCCCCAGGTGCAGAGCAGAGACCGGAGTAAAGGGGAAGTAAGAACACCGAGCTCCTGCCTGAGGATGGCTGGACATGACTTGGAATTCTCAGGAGAGAATGTTTCCAGGAGTTGGGATGAGAGAAGACAGCAGGGTGAGGGGCCAGACACAAGCGGGGGACAGGCAACAGAAGGGGAACACAGGCAGAGTCAGCACAGAGAGGTAGAAAGTGCATTAAATTTGCTTCCAGGCCACTTGTTTTATCTTAAACAGGAAGGATCCCTCATGCTCTGTGGGAATGTCCACTTCACCAGCCGTCAGCAGTGATTGCTGGCTTTGCTCTGAAACCCTCTCTTTCTGGGGAGAGGAACCTCCCTAGGAAAGCCAGGATTGACAGACTTGGTTCCCATGAGCAGAACCCACAACAGGCGACACCTGGGTTTCTGTCTCCAGTAAGCTTCCTTGCAGGGAATCACACAGGGCATGAGATGCATGATCCGTGCAAAGTCCAATGAGACCAGAAGCGAAAACATCTGTTTTCAGGTGTTTCTAAATGGAGATGATTACCACCCAATAACAGGAGTGGCTGCTACTCTATGGCTCTGGACATTCACCGAATTCACACCAGAACCAATAGAAGACAGGTGAGAGACACCCAGCTGCACACAGCCAGGTCTGCAGCCAGAGGCCAGCTGGACAGGCCATCCTGTGCTCCTCTCTGTCCTTCTCTTTCCTCCCTCTCTCTCCTTACTGTTTTCTTTCTCTATTGTGTCTCAAATTTTTCCCATCTCATCCTTGGGCACTACTGGATACAAAAGGGGATGGGGGTAAGGAGCTCCTGAGTGCAAAGGCCCTGAGTTCAACTCCCAGTGCAGTGGGGGAGAGGGAGGGAAAGAAGGAAGGAGGATACTACTTGCCTGTAGGAGGCAACCAAGTCATGAGAGTGGGTCTTGGAGAATGGGACTAGTGAACAAACCCCAGAGAGGCCCCCAAACTCCCACCGTGTGAGGACACAGCTAAAAGGCACCGTCTATAAGCAAAGAGTCATCACCAGATACTGAATCTGCTGGTGCTCTGATCTCAGGCTTCTCCTCCAGAACTATGGGAAATAAACATTTCTTTCTTGTAAGCCACCCAAAGTCATTCATGGTGGTGCACGCCTGTAACCCCAGCACTTGGGGGCTGAGGCAGGTGGATCACTGGGAGTTCGAGGCCAGCCTGGGCTACATAGTGAGTTCAAGACCAGCCTGAACTACATAGCGAGACTCTGTCTCAAAAAACTAAAATAAATAAACTAATTAATTAATAATAATAATAATAACCCTGTCTTATAAGCCACTCATTATAGGACATTTTGTTAAAGCACCCAATTCAAATGGACCAAGACAGCACCATCTATAAATATTATACCATCTGTGTCCAAAATTACCTGGAAACTTTTCATTTTCTACTGATAACTAAATGTTGAATGATAAAGATCTTACACTTTAATATTTGCATTACTTTATTGATAATCAACAGAAGTTAAATTCTTTTAACATGTAATGCCACTGAGTAAACATCCCCATTCTAAAAGGGGGAACAGGAAGATACAAGGAGCTGGACAAAGCAAGATAGGCACCCAGCAGGACAGACACTGAGCCCTATAGCTCCATGTACAGCACCCAGGGAGGGTGGTGGTGAGATACAAGCTCCAAAGGCTTTGGGTGGCCTTGCTGCCTATTGCTGGCTATTTATTTATTTGTCTATGCTAGTCTCCAGTGCACCTTTATTTTTACTTTTTTGGGGGGGGGGGGCGGTAATTACTGAAGATTGAACACTGAGCTACATCCACCCCTTTTTGAAACAGGGTTTCACAGACTGGGCTCAAACTTGCAATCCTCCTGCCTAAACAAGCAAGAGTATTGGGATTGCAGTGCTGCACCACAACACCTGGCTTAGTTATACTTTTATAGCTTTACACACATTCACCTCAGGAGCACACTGGCCTCCTGGGCCTTCCTCCAAAATCAAGATGGAAGCCTTCCTGACCCCAGAACTCTTGTATTTTGTATGCCTGAAAAACCAATAGCAGGTGACTGTCCCCAGCTGGAGCAGTAGCCTGGCCCCTGTGGACTAAGGCTGCAGTAGCCTCTGGGTGCCTGGATGCTGAACTGGAGAACACTCTTTCCTAGGTGGCCATGAGTTAACAGAACAGCCTGGGGCTCTTTCTTTAAAACAAAATCTTTTAAAGGGGTTTATCCTTTTATGCTCTCGAGCCTACGATGAGTGAGAGTCTAGCTAATTTTTGACATGCCATTTATTATTCAAGTGTCAAGCACTTGGCTCTTGAAAAATGGCTACTAATCTTTTTAGCAGCCACACTCTCCTTAGCCCCAACTTTGTAAGTGGTTTCTTTTCCAGCCAAGCTGTAAAATTTTTATATCTTTCAGTTCTGTTTTTTGGTTTTGATTTTTACAGTAGATCTGGCTAAAAGCAGCCAACAGTACCTATGCCACAGCTTAAATGTTGAGCTGCCTTGAAATTTCCTCCACCAGATTAATTAGTTTAGCACCTTTAAATTAGCCTTCTTCAAAGTCTCAAAACATGGGCATAGTGTAGACAAATTCTCTGTCAGAATGTAATGAGCATGGCTCCTAGTCCAATTTTCAGCAGAGTTCTCATTTTCATCTGAAACCTCCTGTACCTGGCCTTTCTTGACTGCATTCCTATCACCAGTCTGGTATCTTCAGCCCTGACCAGAACTGTCTGTTAAACTCTGCTTACAGATTTTTAGAATTTCTCCAGACTGATTTTTCAAACCTTTCAGAACTCCTCTCACAAACTAGTTCCAAATGCTTTCTAACCACATGGTTAGGTACAGTTAGAGCAGTGACATCACTTCCTGGTACCAATTTTCTGTATTATTTTTTCTCATTGCTAGTACAAAACACCTAACACCTACAACCTAAAGAAGAATAATTTTATTTTGACTGACAGTTTAGGGGTTCTGTCCAAAGTTGGTTGGCTCTCAGGCACAAACTTCATGGCAGAGGAAAGCTGCTCAACTCATGGCAGCCAGGAAGCAGAGGGAGGAGGGAGGACCAGGGACAAGAACAGACTCCTCCAAATCATGTACTGATGCACCTCTTCTGACCAGGCCCCCTTCTAATAGCACATTGAGCCATGAACTTATCAACAGATGGGTCCACTGGTGAGCATAGTACTCCCAGGATCCACTCACAATCTGAAAGCTCCACCTCTGAATACATGAGACTCAGGATAACTGAGATCTGAACAATGCCATGGTAGTATGGAGAAAGAAAAAGTGACTGAAAATTGTTTTCATTTTATCTCAGATCAGGGCAGGATCTTGGTCAGCAGCACAGTAGAAAAAGCCCAGTAGGCAGTTCAAAGTGAAGAGCACCAAAATGAGAAGTTGGCTAAGCAAGTAGTTTTGAAGTCAGAGTTTTAACATGGAGAAAACAAACTATGACATGCAGTTGGCATTTGGTCTCCAGCATTTATGCTATGAATCTTTAAACACAATGGAAAGTCCTCTTCACAGATCCTAACAATTAGCTGGGGCCATTATTATTGAATATGGGTTTAATAAAACTGATTTTTGTAGCTCTACACTCCATGCTTTCTACAATCCCGGACCCATCCCGAATCATTAAGGCCGTACTAAACCCATGATGCCCACCATGACATCAGCTTCCCAGGAATTCTGAACAGCATGTGTGTGTGTCTCTCTTACCGGAAATGGTGGTCCATGTAGCCTTCAAAGCTGAAGTTCCTGCAGGTTGAACCAGTGTTACAAAGAAGCCCTTGGACAAAGGGGAGAATGCCCCGGCTGGGCAGATCCCGGGGCTGCAAGAAACCTGGGAACAAACACAAGGAAGAAATGAGGCCATGCCCTGCTACCAGAAGTTGATACCTACTGAGTCAGAAGTGGACAGAATCATAATCTGTAATATCAAGTTATATTATTAGATGTTATTAAAGGAACATCCAAAAACAATAAAACCCTGTATAGATAACACCTCTTGCCCACGTCTGCACTCACACTCGAGGCAGAATGGCTGTGAATAATGGAAGCCCTGGGTTTTGCTAGCTTCCCTGTCCACGGAGCGGCCACACGTGTGTTACACATCCAGCCCCAGACACAGCCCTCTGCAAACCAGCCTTGAGAAAGAAGACTAACAGTGAATACTTTTCTCATCTCATGTTAAAAGTCAGGAGTTTTAAAGTTTATGCAAAAGTTTCAAGTTTAGTGTAACCTGGATTCTTAAATGTTTAAGTGTAGTTGCTAAATATTATATAACACAGAATGTTTTCTACACTGGCTAAGAGCGAAGATTCCAGTGATTTGCTCCCTTGATCAAGTGCTGATGACACGTGTGCCAGCCCTATCTGCCCATCATGCCTGATGGGTGGGACCAGTGGAGCTACTGATAACAGCAGGCAGCTGAGAAGTCTCTGGTCTCTAGCTTTTCCCTGGTGACTGGCTCTCCGCTGGGGTCTAGTTTGATCTGTGAGATGATTTCACTCCCCACTGTGTCCAGCATTTAGCCCAGTCCTTTGCACACTGCAGATGTTCACTACATGTTTGATGACTGAATCAATGAATAAAAATGAATGTGTATTCTCCATATACACTTGGCCCAGGGCTGCAGAACAGGAGACCACAGGGGCTTGGGCTAGTGCCAGATGAGACACTTCATGAGCACAGCTCTGCATCCCATTCTCTCAGGATGTGTCAGCAATGGTGGGCACCATACTTGTTCCCAATGTGCTGTAATCATTGCCCCTCCAGGAAGCTCTGTAAGGGTGAGAAAATATCCCGTCCACCGTTTCATCCTCAGGCTGGGGCACACTTTTGTTGAATGAATATATAAAACACACAGTAGAAAACCTGAAAAGCTTCCCACTCTTCCCAAGGCTTTGATAATTTGGTTTCACCTTTTTCTGCAATTCGCAATGCAGTCCCCAACCAACAGAGGCCACCAATGAGAACCACCCCTTTTCTATATGCAGAACTCAAATACAACTGAGGATGTATTTTGTATAAACCCCAAGACTTAGTAGTGCCTTATACATGTGAAATTTAGAGCCAGCCATGTGGCGCATATCTCATAGTAGAGAAGAAAGCAAACAGTCACCTCTGCTGGGCGTTAAATCAGAAGGGCAAGAGGTCTGAACCCCTGCACCAGGGCCACAGGGAGCATCAGGAACCAGCTTCCGGTCTTGCCGCTGCCAGCGCCCCAGCATGACCCTCTCCCTCGGCTCCATCTCCATTCCCATCACCCCGGCATCAGCCCCGCCCCATCAGGACCCGCCGCCATCTTTCCTCGGGCTCCCAGGGCGGCCGGCAGGGGCGGGCTGCTCCCTCCTAACCGGGAGGATGAATCTCCAGCTGCACTGAGCGCTCGGCTTTCCCAAGAGAAAGGTGTTCGGTGCCGCTTGGTGCCCCCTCCCGCCACTGCCCTCCTGTGGAGCCCGTCTGTGCTCCTTCCCTAGGACACCACGTGCATGAGAGCGGAGGGAGAAGATGATTTCTTCACTGAAGGTTGGTGACTCCGGAGCTGAACCCAGAGCGACACTTACAGCTGTCCCTGTGTCTCGGAGGCTCCTGAAACCGAAGGACTGTCAGAATCGTGAACAGGATGCAGGGCCAGCAGAATTCGGCCAGGGAAAGGACCTGGGAAACGAGAAGAATGCACAGAGCCTGAGTGACCTGCAAGGGGCCCTGCCGCTGTCGCCCCGCTGTCACGCCCGCCCGGGAGGCGCCGCTCATCTGCCACCACGCTCAGGTCCCAGCGGTGTCACCGCCTGGTCCTCCTCTCACCAGCCTGCTGCTGCTCCCCTCCTTTCCCGCATCTTTACTTCTTAACTTTATTGCCTTTCCCACACTTCAGCACGATAGCGCAACTATTGTTTTTCTTTTTCTAATTTCTTTCTTTCTTTTTTTTGGTACCAGGGATCGCACTTGGGACCTTGCACTTGCGTGGCAGATGCCGGAACCACTGAGCTAAATCCTCAGCTCTTTTTCTAATTTCTTTGACATTCCCGAACTTTCCACCCAAACACATTCCTTGCCAGTTTTAGTGGAGCTCCCACTTTTTTTGCCCTCGTTTTATGAATATTCTCTGGGGTTGCTGCTTGAGAATCAGTCACCATCTTACTATCAAATGGATATACCTCAATCCACATATCCATTCTTCCACCAAGGGGAAAAAAAATTTTTTTGGCAGTACTGAGAACTGAACCCAGGGCCTTCACACTGAGCTATATAGCCCCATCCCTTTTTAACGTTTTTAAATTGTGAGACAGGCTAGGCTGGAACTTGCAGTCCCCCTACCTCAGCCTCCCGGAGTCCTAGGATAACACAAGTGCCACTACTTCCAGCTGGGAAAATGTTTTGTGTATAAATTATTTTTCTTTCTAATTATTTTCTTGAGTTTTGAATTAACTCTTAAAAGCAATATTAATGGAGTCAAATATGTTGACAGAGACCACCTAAAAGAGTTACCTAAAAGGATTGCAATAATTTGCACAGCCTGATTTTTGAAGTTAAAAGAAAAGAAACTGCCATCAATATATGGAATTATTTGAGAAGGAAACACTCCCCAATGAAGGATTAATTAATAGAAAATCTTTCAGTATTCTGTTTGTTATCAGTTCTTCACTTGTTCTTATGCTGGACCATCCTCCTTTATTGACCTCAGGCCATCCCCTATTACAAACACAAAAATGGACAGTTGGATGCCAAGTAAGGGGGGCACTGCCGGCCATGATGGTGCACGCCTGTAGTCCCAGCACTTTGGAAGGCTGAGACAGGAGGATTCCTAGTTCAAGCCCAGCCTGGGCAACTTGGTGAGACCCTGTCTCAAAATAAAAAGTTAAAAAGGGCTGGAATGTAGCTCAGTGCAAAGGCCTGGGCACACCCCCTGCAGCAGGAATGAAGAAAAGAAAGACAGGGAGGCGAGAGGGAATTAAATAAGTAAACACAGGGAGGCAGACCTGCAAGTCTCAAGCCCAGGGTGCTGGTCCCACTGAGGCAGGTGTCTTACTGTTTCTAACTCAGGTTACAATGCTCGGAGCGGAGTGGCAGTGAGCTTCTGGTTTCTTCAGCCTTCTGCTCTTTAACCTCCCCGCCCGTGTCAGCCCTGCCCCTGTGAGCAGATCTACCTGTGGCCAGGTGGGTGAGGCCAGGCATGGGCATGACCAATGAGGAGAGCGGTCAGCCCTGCTGCAACAAAGAGGGAAGACATCGCCCTCTGTGAAATGGTGCATGGGAAGCAAGAAAGCGCGACAGAAAGCTGTCCGGCACAGGGCTGAAACCCAGGCCCACTTACTCTAAACTGGGAACATTTCTGCAGGGGCTGCACACTGATCCTGGTCATCCTTAAACCAGAAAGGAAGGTCGAGAGCACTGTGGAAAGGGAAACTCACTGAAATCATTTTGCTCATTCCCTGTGACAGTTTAGTGGTCAGAGAAGTCCTGGGGCAGGGAGGTGGGGGCTCTGTAATTAGTTCTACCTGAACATAAATATGCAACATAGAAAGGCAGCTCACATTAAACCTTGACACCACAAAGAAAAATGGGCACAATTTTTGGAGAACTTGTTCTTTTTTGTTTTTAGTGAACTATGGTGGCTTTTTTAAAAGACAACATTATAAAGGAAACAGAAAATGGCTTATAGGGCCGAGACTCACGTAACAACTTCTGATATTATAAATACCTGAATAAATACACATATAATTAGGAAATCTTTTTTTTTTTTTTTTGGTACCAGGGATCGAACTTGAGTCCTTGCGCTTGCAAGGCAGGCGGCAGAACCACTGAGCTAAATCCCCAGCCCCTAATTAGGAAATCTTAAAAGTAGAAAATGAATACAAGCACTCTCCCTAAGAATAATTTATCTTAGTTTTCTTAATTCATTTTAAAAAACACATATGTGGCCGGGGATTTAGCTCAGTGCTTTTACCTCCTGCTGTGCAAGCACAAGGACCCGAGTTCGATCCCTGGTACCAAAAAAAAACCCACATATGTAAGTATAAATATTGTTTTTAGAAGCAATTTCTCATATCAACACTTACCAATCTACTTCAGTGCTTATAATTTACAGTAGAATTTAATCAATAATCTAAGTAAGGAAATTTGCATGGTTTTCTGTTTGGGGCAAAGCTACCATGAGTTTTATTTGTTTGGCTGACTTCCGTACATTTATCTGTGAGGTAGCTTTACTAAATGGGATTACTGAACCAATGTGTATAGGAATTGTAATCTGGATTTCTAGTATGAATAAATATAAGTAAAATTTCCTCATTAAAAGCTACTCTGGGGCCGGGGATTTAGCTTAGTGGTGCCACTGCCTGCCTCACAGGCACAAGGTCCCAAATTCAATCCCCATACCAAAAAAAAAAAAAGCTACTCTGAATCACATCCACAGTAGCACCCAAGATTAACAAACTTTTAATTTTTTGTTACACTTTCATCAACTGACAAGTGAAAATAATTAACAATTTTTGTAAGTATGTAATAATTCCTTATCTATCTGCTCCTTTTTCTAGTTACCAATTTTTCTATTAAATTATTCTTTTTATAACCAACTTATCAATCATTGCTTGTTCTTTTTTAATTAAAGAATTCAGGGGCCGGAGATGTACCTCACTGGTGCCGTGCCTGACTGGCAAGTGCAAGGTCCTGAGTTCAATCCCTGGCACCAAAAAAAAAAAGAATGCATCCTTTTCTTGGCTTTATGTATTGCAAATATTTTCTCCAATTTTTTGCCCATATTTTATTTCCTACATGCACAGAAAACATAATTTAAAGGACTTTGCCAAATTAAATAGTGAACAACAACTCTGAAGCTATAAATATTAATCAGCCAGTCTTAAGATCAATGAAAAATTTCTCATTTCAAATGGAAACAATATTATTTTTAAAAATAAATTTCCAAGTGTGGTGGCCCATGCCAGTAATCCCAGCACTCTGGGAGGCTGAGACAGGAGCATGGAAAGTTCAGCACAACCTGGGCAACTTAGCAATTTAGTGAGACCTTATCTCAAAATGAAAAGGGCAGGGGCTGGAGATGCAGCTCAGTGCAAAGGTGCAGGGTTCAGTCTCCTCCAGTACTGCAAAAACAAAACAAAACAAAATAAGCCCCATCCCACAGAATACATCATTTGAAAACATTAGGAAGTAGGTTTTTCCCACATTACAGAAGTAATGCAGGCCAAGGATGGTGGACATGTAGAGAGGACTTTATCTGAGGATAGATGTACTATATTTCAGAAAAGAATCTACTATATTTCAGGGGAGAAAAAAGCCACGGATGAATTATAGCTAGTGAGCTTCAAGCTACTGATCTTAAAAATAAAGGAAAACTAAATCGGGCATGATGGCCAACCCCTGCAATCCCAGCACTCTTGAAGGCTGGAGCAGGAGGAGCACAAGTTCAAGCCAACCTTCTGTCTCAAAATTTTTAAAAATGAAAAATCGCCCTGGATTTGATTCTCAGCACTACAAAAATAAATAAATACACACATACTAATACAGATGTCTCAACAGTAGGAAAAAGCAACTCATGAACAAGGAAAAAAGTCATTCAGACCTTAAAATTTCCTCAAAACACTCAGTGCTAGGTGTCAATGCACCAGTATTCACAATGTTCTAAGAGGAAGTGTGACTTAAAAAGAAAAAGGAAATACATGGACATATGATACCCAGCCCAAGTGACCCTAACTAGAAACCAAATGAAAATAAAAATGGGATCACATTTAAAATCCAGTAAAATCACCTCTACTCTCAGTGGTGTCTTGGCTAGAAAGAAAAAAAAATGCTGCATTTTTCTTCTTACAGAAAGTGAAAGAAATCTCCAAAGACCTGAGAAGAGAGGGGGCACTCTCCAAGTGTTTTTAACTCATTAGCTGAATCTTCAAAGGCAAGATTCAATTACAGGCTGGGAGTTGTTAGTAGTTCCTCTTAAAGAAATGGAGAAGTAAAAACTCTAGTATTTTTTAAGTTGATGGCTAAGAATTTTTCTAAGCATATAAAAGACCCAAATTTGCAGGTAAAAGAAACACATTAACAAGAAAAATAAACCCACCATAAGATACAGTATAGTGAAATTTCTGCACAACTAAATCAAAAACCTCAGTAACAATTCAAGACACACTACCTCAAAGGAGGAGCATTTCCAGTGATTCGTCAATAGTAAGAAACCAGGAGACAATGAAATACATTTACATTGTTGAGAAAGCTCTATTAATCTGGAATTGCATACCCAGAAAATTATCTCTCAAGAATAAGAGTAAAAGAAAATGACCAGATAAACAGAAAGCAAGCTACCGAACAGCAGACCTATGTACATTAAACAAGCTTTCAAGTAATGTGCATTGATTTCAAACAAGAATGGGATCAAACTATTTGAAAGACAAGATTTGGGAGCTTGATTTTTTAACAGGGAGGTATGTGTTATTTATAATGGGTAAAATTAAAATATGATACAAGTGGTTTCAAATAAAGACGTGAAGAAATGTACTGCTAAATGTTAAACAAATTAGCTATGTTGACTTAGACAAAAAAGACACGATAAAGAACATTATTAGACATAGAGAGGACCATAATAAAAAATAGGTACACAGGAAGAACTAATAATTGTAAAATAGCCTCAAAACTATGGAGTAACAACT